CAAGAAAGGGCTATATATGCTGCATGCATCGTTGAAGTACTTAAAATTGTATTACTTCTTGAGCTACTTGAGTTATTTACTGTCACAGGTAGGTGCTTTGGCCGCGGAGTAAGTGTCCCATGACATAAGTAGATGTAGTATTTATGTATAAAAACAATATATATAATAATAAATCATAAAATACACAATAAATTCAAATATTCCAGACTATCGCTCCAAAAAAACAACAACAAAAAAAAACAAAAACAATGCAGCAGACTGATGACCCCCTATATATATCCCCTATATAATCTATAAGCTATACAATCAATGAATCACTTCACTTTATACCTAATTTATACATATAAAACCAGGTAACTCTATTTAAAGAGGAAATGAAATGCTCAGCCAAACGAACATGAGATTGCTGTAAAATCGCTTGAGTGTCCTTTCAGCTGCGTCTTCCATCCAGGGGCGGATTTAGGAAATGTGGGGCCCTAGGCAACTGCCTGGTATTGCCTAATGGTAAATCCCCCCCTGCTTCCATCATACCAAATGTTTTAAGTATTTTATGTTTGTGATCTATCGCTGGTATATCCAATGTATTTAAACCCCAACTGAAGCATCAACAAACCCCGTGACATCACCGTTTGGAGTACATGGAGTACATGGCGGAACCTTTACTCCATGTACTTGGCGCCCTTACCAAGATACTATAAAACAATGCTCCTTTTTTTTCTTTTAACTTTATATTTTTAACATTTGTAATATAATTATTGATAATAGTAAGACACACTCTCATTCATTAATTTAGCTTGGTTAACTTTTTAATTTCCACTTAATGTTGAAATATACTCCTTAAATTACATTTAATGAATTATTTTAAAGATTTTTTTAATTAATGCATTTTAGGGATTTAATTGTACATTTAATATTTTAGATAATATTCAGTAACTAAATGCCATTAAAACATAGGAAAAAAGGAAATATAATTACTACACCGTATAGGCATAAATGAACAGTAGTTATTAGTATTTTTAGGGACTCTCCAGTCTGTTGCATTGTTATTTTTGGGGTCAGAGGCTGAAATGTTAGAGAATCACTGAAGGAAGACCTCTGAGATTTTTTTTTTTTGAAAGGATTCAACTGCACGATTAGAGACGAGGCCTGACAGAAGATCTGATTGGTCCATGGAGCTGCTGCAGATAGAAACCCGTTATTTTTGACCAGGCAAAGAGATCTTATGACTCTAAACCTGACTCCGCTGATCAGACCCTTGATGTGGTTCTAATAAATCAGTGAGTTCTGTTGCGAAGGTTTCTCCTCCTACTGATTTCCAGGTCGCCATGCAGAGGATATCTTTGGTGAGCTCTTTATGGAGGCCAATAGCTTCTACCTGAGGATGAACAGCCTCCAGGAGAGAGTGGACCAGCTGGCCATGAAGGTGACTCAGCTGGACTCCACCGTGGAGGAAGGTGAGTCAACCTCCACCCAGTCACCCAGACTCCCCCTGCTGTTTCATCTCAACATCTACTGGCTGTTTGTACCTCATCAACATCTTTGTGATGTTTGTGGCGCAGTATCCCTGCAGGACATCAACATGCGGAAAGCTTTCAGAAGCAGTACCATCCAGGACCAGCAGGTGGTGTCCCGGAGCTCTATCCTCAACCCGGTGTTGGAGATGTACCACCGGTGTGATAAACCACCCCCCCTCAACATCCTCACACCTTACAGGTTTGTTTTAGCCCCACCCCTCAACACCTTGCTGGTCAGTTTCAAGTTGCACCATCGCCATGCCAACAAGAGGTTTATGGTCTGTTTTTTTTTCAGGGATGATAAAAAGGATGCTCTGAAATTCTACACCGACTCGTCTTACTTCTTCAGCCTGTGGAAGGAGAAGATGCTGCAGGCAACAGAGAACAAACGCAAGGAGAAGAGAAGACACAAGGTTCATCCATCCGTCCATCCATTCATCCATCCACCCGTCCGTTCGTCCATCCA